ACCCAAATATATCGTGTAATGGACATGTTCACACTTGAAACACACGCATGTCCTTTTGCAGATAATACGCGCTGCAGGTAGAAAAAGTTGAAAACCCTAAACATGTTTCGTAATGGACGTGGTCACACAATACAAACATGCCCATTTTTTTGAATATTACATAATGCAAATTCAAACACGTTTGAGGTGAAGATCATCATGCATTAGATGCGAGCATGTCCATTTTTCGAATATTATGCACTAGTATGCAATTAGAAAAAAAAGTTAAGTATTGATGGATCATATGTTAAAAGAAACTTGTCGTAAAGTCAATTTAATTGAAAATAAGATGAACTAGTCACGATTTGATAAATAAATATTATTGCATTTATATCATAACAGAAATGATCTCCTAAGCACCGGTAACATGACACATCATGTAATTAGTGAATCATTCAATATATGGGACCTACTATTAATTTATTCACCAATTAGATGGTATGCCATGTCATCAATACTTAGCATTAACTAAGCGTCGGTGTTTAGAAGATCATTTCTGTATATCATAAAAAGATAAAATAACATTGAGAAGCAATTCAAGTTTCACATAGAACGTGTTATATTGTCAAGGGTCATTGACATTATAAACTTTTAATAGTTGATTTTTTACGTTAAAAAGTAATGAAGAGGATTTGATTAATTACTTTTATAAAAGATATAATGACGTAAGGTAGATATTATAATTATCGAGAATAAAATTTAGTTTATCTTAAAATTCTTCCACTACGAGCAATACACTTTTGTTCAAATCTTTTATATTTTGAAAATTTAAAATGGAGTTAATAATCTTAAAAAAATAATAGAGTGTAAAGTAGAGAATAAGTAGTTTTCAATAATCCCTTATTTTTCAAGCCTCATTTGCTGTCCCCCATCTCTGCATCTATTTGTATATAACCCAAAAGACAGAGCAAATGACAGCTTGGAAGGACTGAACGGATGACACGTCTAACACATCATGGGGTCCACTCTACGCGTACGAACTTAGTCAAAATAATGCATGTGGAGGCCCCACACCTTACACCTCGAAGGCCCAAGAAAAACTGAGTAGCTCTCACCTCTTCAGGTGAGGTCAAAATGGTCCACCCAAGCCCCTCGGGGCACAGCTCAACTGGTGGATCAATCAACATTGACTTGCTTCCAGTGGCAGGGTGGAGAGTTCGATTCCTGGTGGGAACCTGAGGCCAAAAATTTGGTATGAAGCAATCACCGTGGAGGAGGGTCTCTTGTGCGTAGAAGTGTACAGTCAAAGGAGGGAACCTGTGATCCAGTTGAGGCATAACCCGCGATTTGCCCCCTCCAAGGTTCTAGGAGCATGGGTCTTGGAGGTCTAAGATTTAGTCTGGTGTAAATTGGGATACCTGAATATCAAAAAAAAATAATAATAAAAATGGTCCACCCAATAAGATAGTGGCTCCTCGTTAAAAGGTTACACCACATAGAACAGAACGATCATTCTATCAAAATTTTTCTCCCAAGAGCGGGATAATTTCTATCCTCACATTGCCACGAGTCCAACAAAATATGTGCACAAAATTGAAAAACACTACTTTAAATTAGTTTGAAACAAGTACAAATTTGTTGTAATTTTTAATACAGATTTAAGACTTTTACGCTATAATAATAATTCAGAGCGTATTAATATTAGTCGCAAATAAAGATGATGTTTGGTGGGAATTTAAATTAAATTTTTTAGTAGATTATGATAGAAGTTTTTGAAATGTATAGTTGAAAAGTTGTAGCGCCCGTGAAAGATGTGATTAATATTGATTGTTTGATTTTGACTTAAATTAAAATCAAATTTTAATCCAAATCAAACAAACGCAAAATCGAGATGCCTTTGTTTCGATTGAATTAAAAATCGGTTAAAATTTGTAGATGCAAATATGTGTAGATGACTCATTTATGGAGAGGATATTCTATTATTATTATTATTATTATTATTATTATTATTATTATTTTGAAGTGAGAATTGATGAAGATACCACCTAATAGTGACAATCTTTAATCACGTAACGGAAAATGCGGCAACGTAATTATGTCAATACAAAAAGGTAAAACGTTCTTTTCTTCGAACTTTGATTAATCTTAATTTATTTGGTTAATTAGATTATTTATGATTTAAACAAAATAAGCGAGCAACGAAACCGTCCAAAAGGCCGTTTGACTTTTGACCCAAAATAGTAGGGCCCAAATTATGTAAAATAGCTTATTATATTCACACAACAATTTTTATGTCTCACATCACATTTAAATTGCAATTTTGATTAAAGTCTTTGCTCTTTATCCTTATAATATTTAGTTGCGTTTGATTGCGCGCATGAAATTTGTATTAAAAAAAATAAATTTTAAGTAATTTAATTGTTTAGAATTTATTTTTATAAAAATTATTAATTTAATATATTTGATTGATTTAATTTTTAACTTAAAAAATATTATATTTATCCATTTTGTTGGCGATAGATGAGAGAGCGATAGACAAATGAATCACCTGAAAAATAAAAATTACCCCTCATTTTCTTTGTTTTTGAGAAAAATATGGTCAAATGATAAAAAGTTGGAAAAATATTTGTTATGAAAAAATTATCAATCAAACACCATAAAAATAAAAAATTGGATGAAAAATAAAGTCAATCAAACACACCCTTTAATCCTTAACTATTTTTTTTACGTTGTTCGTATTTTTCAAATTTTCATTAGTTAACACATTTTGTATTTGATAACAATTTTATGTTCAAAAATCTATTGAAATGGTGTAAAATAACTTATTTTTCAATCACATTTTTAATAAATTCATAAACTAGAATTGAAAAAAAAAAAATTCCCTCATTTAAAAAGATGAAAATAAAATATATTGATATATGTTGGCATCCGAACTCCGATCTGGTAAAAACAAGTTCGCTAAACCCACCTCAATTAAATGTAAGTTTGGCCCACACTCTCAGGTCGGAGTTACCCGCCGTTATCTTAGAAAAACATCATGATTACCCATTATCACATCATCCTATCAATCAGAGACACTTGCCACATGTGATGTCATCGCCGTCCGGGACAACCAATCCGAAGTCCTCGAATTTTAGTCCCTTACAGGTCATCATTCCCTAGGTAATACATTGACACATGACCATCGGCCTGATTGACCAATCACGGGAGAATTCGGCGACCCGAGTTCCGAGCTCGACACTGTTACTGATTTGATTGATTTGATGTAATTTCGGATGAAATTATGTATAAATAGTTGAATAGGACCATTGTAAAGGTAGGGCAAATTCAAATAACGACTAATGGTACTATCACATCTTTGTAATCTTTTCTAAGCACAAATCACATTTTTCTTAAAGTTAGTTCAAAATTATCCTTGCTAATTTTGACGCCAACAATATATATTGTTATTAAGAACGAGACGTACTAAGTAATAGAAAATTGAAAATAAGTATTCAATGAAAAAAATTAATAAAATAATTGTTATAATGAACAAAGATTGAAAAATTTAACCGTAATTAAAATTTAGTGTATCAAATGAAAATTGTGGTGTCAACATAATCACCATTGAAAAAGAAGAGACGGGAAGGTCTAGCACAAATTTATTATTAAGTAAAAATATTTAATTATGAGTAAATAAGTAATTTTAAAAATATTATTATATTGATTAAGGGTAATACAAAAATGATTTTCAAAATAAGTGAGACTTTTTATCTTAAGGTGTAAGGCGAGTTAAATCGAGATTAATTCTATCTCAAGCGATTCGATCTAAATTTACGTTATAGATAGATTATGCCTCCGTTTAGTAATAATTTTTCACAAAAAAATTGATTTTTTTATCGTTATTTTACTATTTCAACCGTCACTTTTGACTTATTCACTCGAAAGTAGAATTCACTTTTTTTTTAATGATCAAAAAATCAATTTTATTGAACATGCCCGTAATCCGTTGTTATTTTAAAATTGAATGAAAATGTAGGTCAACCATCATAAATTCATTCCTAAATATGCACATGACGTTGTAAGACAACTATTGCCATAATAATCTTATAAAAGATTTAAATTATTAAATTCATCCTCAAATGCGTACGTGCTTCCATCGCTATACACGTGTCCCTTTCATTCTGAACTCGTATCCTTAAGTCCTACCAACCACTTAATTTCATGTATATCTCATACTCCTTTTAATTTTTTATTTTTTATTACGAAAATATTGTCGACCACGACATAAATTATTTCTCTAATTTCTATTATTTTAAACAATTCTAAAGGCTGGAAGAATTATTAACTTTTGTTTGATGTGGACTCAAATTCGTGTAGAGTCTCGAAAGGAAAGATACAAGAATTGAAATGAAACAATTTGTTTATTCGAAAAGTCAAAAAACACGTAATTTTTTGGAAGTGTTTCGTCCAATTAATTATTTTAATTATTTTGATAAAACTTTAAACTTTAATCTTAAGTCAAAAAACTATTTTAATGTTGCTGAAAAAGTGTTTGGTTTGTCATTTTAAAAAACTGTTTCTCAAAATTTTAAAAATTTAAAAACGCGTTTCATTTAAAAACTTTAAAAATAATTTTATAACATTTTTGAGGAGCTTCCCTAGAGAAAGGGAGAGGGATATTTATATTTTGGTAAATTTTATTAAATATTTTAATTTGAGAAATTTTTAAAAGTTCATTTTCCTTATTTTGACATCAAAAAGTCATTTTGAATTTTGTGTTATAAAATTTTACTTGTTTTCAAAATCGCATTTTTGAAAATAACATAAGAAACATGTTTTGAGTGTCTTTGAAAAGTGAAAATGGTCTCAAAATGAAAAACCAAACACGCTCTAAGAAATTTCCTTGAACTTTAAATATTTATTTTCTTGTTTTTTTATTTATTCTTATTTTTGCTGAATTTTCTTTGAATTTGTTATCAAAGAATTTGACCTATACACACCCCAACCAAAACAACCACCGTCACGCGCCCCCACGGCACCGCACCGCATATGTAATTACTTTGCATGACGAAGCCGCACTATTTCTCTTCCGCGTAGCTGCCAGCTTCCCGCCCACAGGTTTGGACCCTACCCTACCCCACGCCACCCACTTCCCCATACACATTCTTATTCTTCACTTCACTCATAGCCGCTCACTCTGTGTAAAAAAAGGGGGAAAAAGTCTAGAGCCCCTCAAAGAATTTGAACAAAGAATTACACAAAATAAAAAGAAAAAAAATGGGAGAAGTGTACATTGGGTTTTGTTTGTAGAGTGATGGCGAAGAGTGGGGTGTTTGAAGGCGATCCAGGAATGGCGTCTAAGGCCATGGGATTGAAAAGGGAATTGCAGAAATTGGTCAAGGCAATTGTTGATGACGAGGATGTTAACTTGGAGGCAATTGATAAAGCCCAGCAAATGCTTTCTGCTTTAAAGGAACTGAAATTGAAGAAAATTTTATCTCTTAATTTTCATAATAATCATCGCGATGAGGTAGTTTCTGGTGCGGTGCCCGAGGAATTTAAGTGCCCACTTTCCAAAGAGCTCATGAGGGATCCTGTTATTGTTGCCACCGGACAGGTTCGTGATTTTACTTCCATAAATCAGATGTGCTTTGGTTTATATCATTTTTCTGTGGAAATTGTTTGCAATTAGTTAATGTGTGTCTTATGAGCGTTGGATTTTGTTAAACTGTAATTGATTTTGGCCGTTGGAAGAAATTTTTTCCTTCTTCTGGACTTCGAAACATTGATTTTGACAACATAATTTGCAGGATTTTGGGCACTATTTTTATTACTTTTTTCTACAAGTGTGCACTCTGAATTCGTATGTGTGTATGTGATTGAACAGAGGTGCGTACAAATCTGCGGTGGTTTGTACAAATTTTATGCATTTTGACTTATTTGGTTATCGGATTGCGGTTGATTTGTGTATATATCTTTTGGCTGATACGTTGACATGAATATCTATCTTTATTTCGATCTTTTAAGATCTCAAAATGCAGTTTCTCGTTTAATTTTGTTTCTTGTTTATATTGTTAACATTCTCGCTACAATGTGTGCAGACTTATGATCGGCTCTTCATTGAGAAATGGTTAAAATCTGGGAACAGGACGTGCCCTCGAACTCAACAAGTATTATCGCACACTATTCTTACACCGAATCACTTGATTAAGGAAATGATATTGCAATGGTGCAAGAATCACGGTATTAAATTGTCAGACTCTGTTCAGCATTCCGATGAGGACGGCTTAACTGGAGATGACCGGGACCGATTCCTATGTTTGCTTGAGAAAATGTCATCAACATTGTCTGATCAAAAAGAATCCGCTAGAGAGTTGCGGCTATTGACGAAAAGAATGCCTTCATTCCGTGCACTTTTTGGTGAATCTCGCAATGCAATACCTCAACTGCTGTCCCCGCTATCTCAAAGCAAGACTCGGAATGAGGTTCAGCCAGATCTCCATGAAGATATAATCACGACACTTCTGAATCTTTCCATTCATGACAATAATAAAAAGCTAGTTGCAGAGATGCCGATGGTTATTCCGCTTCTTATCGATGCTTTGAGATCAGGCGCTATTGAAACAAGGAGTAATGCAGCTGCAGCCCTTTTCACATTATCGGCTCTCGACTCAAACAAGGAACTGATTGGTAAATCTGGAGCTTTGAAACCTCTCATCGACTTATTAGAAGAGGGACATCTTTTAGCCATGAAAGATGTTGCATCGGCAATTTTTAATCTATGTATTCTTCACGAGAATAAGTTGAGAGCTGTTAGAGATGGTGCGGTGACAGTTATACTGAAAAAGATCATGAATCGAATGCACGTTGATGAGTTATTGTCCATCCTCGCCATGCTTTCAACCAGTCAAAGAGCTGTCGAGCAAATGGGAGAGCTTGGGGGAGTTCAATGCTTGCTTAGTATAATCAGGGAGACTTCTTGTGCTCGAAACAAGGAGAATTGCATTGCAATCCTTTTTACTATTTGTCATAGTGATCGATCCAAGTGGAAGCAGATGAGGGACGAGGAAAACACATATGGAACTATCTCTAAGCTCGCTGAAAATGGCTCGTCCAGAGCCAAAAGAAAGGCCAGTGGCATACTCGAAAGACTGAATCGGGCTATCAATCTTACCCATACAGCGTGATGTGGGTACTGAGCACATATTCTGTAAATTCTACATATTTTCATTTTCCTTCATTATCGACGTTCATTCTGTATATTTTATTATCTAAGCATGGCTTGATCTCAAGTATATGGTTTGTGCATAATACTAATGAAATCTCTACTCATAAGGTTCCTTTCAATATTGTTCGAAGATGTTGCACATGGTTTTTGAGTAGCCTGCATTAATATGTTATGACAGCACTTGCTTTGCTGGTTTCTTCCTATGATTGCCATTCTTCTCTATTTTTCTGTCAAATAATACCTGCACATGGGTTTACGTAGATCCCATAAATCTCAATGAAGCCATTGTGTTTACGGTCAATTTTTATTATAAATAGATAAAAATAATTGACGAATAAGTGAGTACTATTTGTGGGTACATATATTTTTTGTGGCTTGCCTATCTTTTCGACAAACTTGGGATTGGCCACAGAGAGTATTTTCTGAACACTCTTCGGTTTGTTCTCCCTACATTTTTTGGTTGCTTGCTTGGACTTAATGGCTGTATTTTTTTCACGTTTTTAACTTTTACTGCATGAGATGAAGCCAAAACCCATTAGCATTATGCATCCGTGACTGATAATTGAATGAATGGTTCCAGATTGGATGGGAAAATGATGTGGGAATAATGTTTCCATGTCGACTGCTCATGTGATGTCTGGTTTCAGGGTCTATCCATTATTATGCTACTCAGTTTTTATGTGGAAGTCTTCAATTATATCCCCATCCCATCCACTCTTTTAACTATTTTTATCTGTTGAAGAAGCCACTCGCCCTGCCTGTCTCAATTATCGCCGTTTTTGTTTCTTTATCTTTTAAGAGAGCTTCTAAGGAAGCATACTTTATTGAGCTAGTTTTCTTTCAAAATTCTTCTTGTTAAATGTTGTTTGGAAGAACTTTCTTGAAACTCAAAAGCACTTTCTTATGGACCAAAATCACGTTTTGTATAAATAGGTTTTTCTTCTTTTCCCTAAAAGAGATGATATTTAAACATTGGACAGGCGCATGCAATTGTGGTCCTTGGAGTACCTAAGAATCGGATTCAAAAGTAAAGGGAAAGAACAACGGATTAGGCGAATTGGAAATCAATAAAGCCTATATATCCATATTGGAACATATATTTTAAACATGCCAAATAAATTTGCTTGCTTCGCAAAAGTTGTTCATTTATTCTATATTCTCGTCTTCCTTTTACGTTTGGTAACGTGGACAGATTGCGTTAGCATCATAGAAACAAAAATTTTATATATTGTAATATTTAGTTAATTGCCCACCGTGGACATACAGAAATTTGCGACGCATTAGCTCGATAAATATTCAATTTGCTGGAGCACTAATGTCACTCCTAATTTGTAGAAATTAAAATTTAATTTTAAGTCAAAGTTAATAGCTAATTTTAGTCATATATTTTATGGGATCTACAAGTTCTCAAACATATATTTCATCGACTTTTATCAAAATCTACTAAAAATTTAATTTTAATTCTCACCAGTTTTAATATACTAAAGCCAGAGCATATATTCTACTTTAGTTATACTAGAACAGCTTCTTTTCTCTGAACATGTGATATGCTATAAAAATATTCTATTTTTATCTCAAATAACTATTCTTTGATGTTATATCAGAATAACTAGTAGTCTTCATTTTAAACTTTGTCAAATATCTAATAAAAATGAAAGGGACGCCTTGAAATATTATAAAATTAATTTCATATCTAATATTTTTAATTTGATTCCATTACGCTTAAGATTAGAGAAAAATAATTAAGTAGATATTGCAATTTTACAGAATATTATTGCTGATGAACATTCATAGGAGGCCTATAATGAGAGGGATGACAAAATATTTTTTGATGGAAGTGACAATTCTCTAACAAATCATTTAAACAAGTTGCGGTCCGAACATATTCAATGAAAATTGATAATAATTCGTTTTATTTTAACCTATCCATCCATCGAAGAGCTCCTCATATGGTAATGGTGGAACCTACTCCTTTCATTATCAGCTCAAAAAAGATAGAAAGGATGCATTATTTGTGGAATTACTTTTTCAATAAATGTTAAATGTGCTCCAAAGGTTATGGCACGAAAATTCCCCGATTAATCCCATCCTCATCCTGACTCCATTAAAAATAGATTTTACAGAAAATTATATTTTGAAATAATAATTTTTGAAGAACGTATGACTATAAAATAAGGAAAAAATTTTAAATTTACGTGCTATATTATTTTATTGAAAAATATGTAACTGACAATAAGAAAGAAAAAAATGAAGTCCAAACAAGGGCTAAATATACACTACAAAATTTATGCCGCAAACTTCAACATCGAATCCTACATGGAATTGATTAATTTGTTATAAGACGGAGAGTAGAATGGAATCACGTCAAGACTGACCATGAAGAAGAATTTAACTCTCTTTTTTCTCTAATAGTACTGTCAAATTAGATATACTATTACTAAACATGTCTTAAGAAACAAGAAGAATCTACAGTAAAAGACTTCTAACAAGAAGGAAGACAAACTCGTGTGAAAGTAATGTTAAATAGGCTCTGAAATTTATACCCATTCAATAAATTGAAAATGGGGATCTACCATGTGTAGTTTCTGCGCATCCAAACTACACAGCTGGGGACAGAGCACTTTTTCTGCCCATAGTCCCACACTTCTGGTAACACATTTGTCTAATTCAGGTGATCACATCCGAATAAAGTAGCTACGGACAATATGTTTCTACATTGTGCAACATTAGGCAGCACCAACCTGGAATCAAGCTATGGTGTGCATACGTACAAGTGTAAAAAGGTCGTGGGACAGATCGACCTTATAGTCGGGCTCAATCGGTAGAAATCACAACAGACAAAAGTCCCAAGTCTAATGATGCATTGGACTAAAAAGTGAATACAATGCCATGTTAATTACATAACTTAAAAATTAACAAATCATCATTCCAGCCAAATAAATCTTGATATGCAAGCGATGCCAATTTCTTTCACTTTAGGTACCAGGCATTATTCATAGAGAGCATGAATCAGGCAGGAAGAAAATTCAAGAGAAAAATTAAAGCCAAGGAATGCATGATCAGACATATGGTAAACTTCTTTTTCATCTATGGATAGAGTTCTACGACCATGTAAATGCTACAGAAATAGATACTGTACATTTCCAAAACGACCAATTTGACTTCACACTTATCATATTGAGAGTAAAGAGGGATCAACAATTACACTCGATATAATAGGATAACCAACAATGATTACTGTCGGAACCAGTTTAACCCAAACTGAAGAGAAAAGATGAGTCATATCTTTTACCTGAGCCATACAACTGACAAATGGTAAGACCATCAATCTGTCTTGTAAGCCCACCCATGTGTCTCCAGAAACGCACGCGCAGCTTCTTTTATGGCTAAATTGGGCACCAACTGTGATGAATACAAGGGTTCTGGGCGAACTGGATCAAAGTTGCCAACCTTAAAGATGACAAAGTTAAGGATTAATACATGACACTGGAGGATAAATATGTGCATATAAATAAATGGAAATGACAACTGAATATCAATTAGGGCTACCTTATGCAGATGATCAAGAATTACTGCTCTCTCATATGTAAGTCCACTTGGAGTAATGACAGGATCGCGGAAAATGTCTAGAGTAATTTTACAGCACAAATAGTCCGGCACCTGAAATCCTCAATTGGTGTCACCGAGTCAAATGAAAAATAAAATCCCGATAGGGGGGAATTCTGTGAATGAATCTCAAAAGCTCACATCAGTAGGGATATCATCTTCAGCAGCTTTGTTAAATACTCCATTTAAAGCTTCCAATTGTTCTAAATTGGATTGAATATTCTCATCCACAAATCCTTCCACTTGTGAAGTGTCAAGGAAATGTTTCTCCTTCAGAGCTGCCATGCATGTTTCTCTAAGACAGGAAAGATAATTAAGATACCAATATCATTCTAAGCAGAGCAAATAGAAATAAAAGAAGGAATCACAGAAGATGAAGACCCAAACTTGAAACAGAAAAGAGCAATTACTTCAAATTTTGAAGATCCCATGAACGTTTGGTAGACTCATGTTCCCACAACAAATATCTTGCTCTTGCAAGATCTTGCCATATCTCTTCTACCTTGTAACCCTTAGGGCTTGCACCCCTTTCAAGATCCAAGGCCTGAGCTATCATAAAAATATTAAATACATCCCCATTAATAGTAAACATGCTTATCGAAAAATTTAGGTTTTGCTAGTGAACAAACAACCATAATACCATAAATGCCATCACCTTAATATATCACAACAATATACTAGTTAGAAAAGCGTAAGGAGATTATAAACCCGGTAGAAAGCAAAAGGAGAAATAAACTGTACAAAGTAGGTGACCAATCAAAATAAACCACAAAAGCAACAAGATGCCCAAAGACTAATTAAATTTTACCGCACATTCTATCCTATAAAGCAACTAAGCAAGTGTAATTTTACCGCACATTCTATCCTATAAAGCAACTAAGCAAGTGTAATTTTACCGCACATTCTATCCTATAAAGCAACTAAGCAAGTGTAATTTTACCGCACATTCTATCCTATAAAGCAACTAAGCAAGTGTACCATCTAAAAAGGCATGCCAGCTTAAGTAATATTTAATTCCACGAGAGCAAGACTGATTTCAGAAAGCAACAAGTAGCTCTTTGTCTATAAGAAAGAAGATGAACGAAGAAAGAAATGGGTGAAGCTGGAACTGGTTGACTGATCTATTTTGAGGAAAACCTGAGAGCAGATGGGCTTCCATTTGTTAACATTGTCAAAAGCTTGCATTGCTCATTCATAAAAGGATTGAGTGAAGCATATGCCTCCACAGGGATGCATATTTTAGCAAAAGCTAATAAGATTTGTTTGCATATTAATATTTTCTGGAAAAAAACCTTTATGAAATAAAACCCCATACTTTTTCCAATTCCTTGACTCCTTCAGTGTAATCTTCCCTTTGTAGCAGTGCAAGACCCAGCATATGGTGAGCCTGCCATTATGCAAAGCACTTCCAAGTTAGTTCGATCAGTGACAGACAAGTAAGATAAAACTGCTAAATGCAAAAGTCAACAATAATGCTCCAGCAGATTCGGCAGAGATCAAACCAAGGAAGATGTGACAGAGAACCATAATACAAGACCAACAAATAAAGCATGCATGCTACAGAAGATTCGGCAGAGATCAAACCAAACCCAGAATAACCAATGAAATATGTCAAACATTTTCATTTTTCGTGTAGAAGAGACTGGTGGGTTTCGAGGAAGCCATTACAAACGATGGAATACATTCGACTAGACAACTGAAAAATGAAATATCATGAGTAGCAAATATTGCTATTAGAAAGAGATTAACAATATACTTTTGTGGTCCTGATGTCCTTTATATATTCGTGAAGCAATGAAAAATAGAGCTCTTGCCTCACCAAAAAGAGTTAATTACATGATGTCAATTTTGCAGTGAAAGTTCAAGTCAAAGATCAAAGTGAAAGTTGTAGATCTCTTTGCCCCCCTCTCCCCACTCATTCTTTATTGTAAGATAAAGGCTATGCCAGTACTGATGCTACCACTGGTGCTTTGCCTCCTCATCTCTCACTGGGCATTGAAAAACCTTCGCCCTCTAATGTGGTGTGTGCGCTTTCCCAAGACTTCTATGATGTTTCTTTCTTTGCTACAACTGATAAAAATCGTTGTTTTAGACCGATGCATATGTAGAAAGCCTATTTTTTTCGTTTTCATGTAATCTATAGAAAAGTTCAAAGGAGTAGATAATCATAGTTATTGAACCTTTTATACTAGGAAACTCAAACAACCATAATTTTACTTAGTGTATTACTTCCTTTAGGAGGCCAAACCCCTCTCAAATATTTGTTCCAATATATTGAGGCAACATAAGCATATGCATTTCTAATGAAGCAGCTGAAGGTCAGGTACGCACAGGGCCGAAGAAAAAGGTAAGTAAATACTTCCACTTTTCACTGAATGCAGAAATACAGCATAGCATTCATAGCACTCCATCAGCAGAGTTTTAATGCATTTACAAGGAAGTTGATCCATGGGGGGATAGTCACATTACCAAACGTTAGGGCTCAAGTTGTTGGACCAATTAGTCCAAAAGACAGAATGGAGAGCAAGATTTAATCTTGGATATCCGAGAACAAAAGCAAAATAAGCAAAAACTAGAGTAGACGGGAAAGGATGGAGCAATAATGACCATTATCAAAGTTAATATTTTCAATTAGTCAACTCATGCATGTGAAATTATTAGAAAGTGAAAATTGAAGCATGAGGAAGTTTCAGCATCAAAGGCATATATTTTTATGATGGTTAGATTCACATCTGAGGTTGAGAAATCAGAAATGATCAACTACAGGTTCTGAAGAAGTATAAGCGATTATGCTTTTCTTCCTTTTCAGCATCGAAGCCATATTTTTTTCAATGATTAGACTTGATTAAGATGTCTAGAACAATAAAAAAAAAAAGGTTATTCTGAGGAAATAAGAGTGATAAAGCATTCCTCCATTTCTTGCTGTGCTGAAGTATTAATCTTGAGACTTCAAGAATAAAGTTATATTTTGCTTTCCTGTGTACAAGACACTCATCATTAATTGTTCGCATTTATAGGCAACAGCCATGATTACTGAGATAGTAAACTCAAGCAATTAGAATTCGGAAATGCATATTAATCATGGCTTAAGCACAATATCCACCTCATCAAAGCAAACCACATTATGTTCTAAATGAATTTTTTCCATACATGCATTATAAGACATATACAGAAACTTTAGCAATTAAGCAAATTGCAGCAGATATCAATTAAAACTTCACCAACGGTTCAAGTGAAATCAACATTAAATAATATTGGACATAGATTTTATACACATCTCAATACAAATACCCTTTCAGCACCTACAATGTCAAAAATGTGTAATAATCTATAACGAATAGTAGAACAGATGAAAAGTACACAAAAAGCCCAAAATTTATTCAAAAAAGCTCCTTTTCTCCTCATTTTGCGCCTCACACTTTTTTCCTTTATGAGAGCTCTTTGCTTAACATTGAAAAAACCGGTCCGCATTGGCTATCACCACAAACCTAAATATAAGCAGCAAATCGCAATAACAAAATACCAGCAGTAAACATTTAGCATTTGACTCATCGCTTAAGATACCTCTTAACTAAGAGAAAACATTAACACTCTAGTTAGATGTTGAGATGTTTCGGCAGCATCTGAAAGAGCTTATAATGAAAAATAAAGCACAGGTGTTGGTTCACTAGTGTCCTTTTTCACAAAGTAACTCAGTGCATGAAAAGGAGAAGTCAAGAACTGAGGCATTGTTCTTTTGTGAGGCCAGGCGTAACTCGTAAGCCTCAAGGTGCTTTGAGGCTTAAGCCTCACTATGAACCACAAAAAAAGTATAAAAAAAATAAACATATAATAAATCACAAATGTTAAATTCTCAAAACAGTATAACAACTTAAGGTGATGTTGTTGCTGGAGTGATAAGGTTATATAGGGAGACCACACTGTTGTTTTACGTTTCTTTAGTTTGAAATTATAACAAATTTTTATCTATAATAATAATAATAATAATAATAATAATAATAATAATAATAATAATAATAATAAAGGTTATGTTATACAATTGGTGTCAGAGATAATTTATGGTTAATAATTGATTAAAATATGTAAATTTTATTAGAACATGTTAGATTTCCAAAGCTATTTTAATATATATAGTATATTTCCAGTGAAGTCAGTCGATAAAATATGATAACTTTAAAGAAAAAATACTTTTCAAGAAAAGTGCAGAAAGCCCTGCGCTTTGAGGCTTATGCCTTTATCAAATTCTCAGTACTTTTTCACCTTCCCTTTACTAACATGTTCTACTAACTGGACCCACTTCGGTTAACTCAAAGGACGTACCATACCGTACCTCAACCATACAAAGTCCTCATTCCTAAATTTATAATCAATAACTGTAACACCCACTCGTTGGAGTTATATTCTCGTTTCTTATTTTATCCCTTTGATGCATCTAGCTTCACATCCACATTTTCCTATGTTCCGATTACGAACCTCTTATCATTTAACAATCCAATATTTACTACCATAAGTATAGTATATTTAGTACATAGCATGTAGAATTGGCATTCTAACCTTATCAAAAAACTAACTATACATGGAATACCTATAGCACTCATACATTTCATCCAATGCACTCTAACCACATGCATTATACACTCTTCCACTCCTTACTTAATATCAAAGCGTAAATATTTTAAAAGTGACCTTTTTGGGACAACAAGATCATTTAAAGTGTTACTATTACTAGAATGACACGAGTTTAGCACTCATACATTTCATCCAATGCACTCTAACCACATGCATTATACACTCTTCCACTCCTTATTTAATATCAAAGCGTAAATATTTTAAAAGTGACCTTTTTGGGACAACAAGATCATTTAAAGTGTTACTATTACTAGAATGACACGAGTTTCAAAAATCACAAGTGAAATCTACTTAAGTAAAACAAAAAATAATAGAACTCTAATTCTTATATGAAATTAGCAATTGCAGTTCGATTCAAGCTCCAAAAAAGTTAAGCCTCTGAACCATTCTTTTTGGGTCAAGTTCCTTCCAATTTGTGAAGTGACATAAAACATTAAGCCTCAATTTGGGCCACATTTTCTAAGACTTTTTTTTCCCCAAAAATTTACACCCACGCATTTCATAGGACCCACAATTTTATCAAATTTTCTCTGTTACATTTCATCAACTTTTAACAAAATTTACTAAAAATCTAATTTTAATCTATAATACATTAAATATCACATCAAATGAGATAGTTTTTGGACAATTTTAACCCTACTATGATTCAACTATTTCAATAATACTTTACTTTCGTATTTTAATATGTAATAAATACTAAAAAAAATCCTTATCATGTATGAATTTCGTATTTTCAATTCTCAATTAATTAACGTTTATATTAATCTAGACAATGAATCTTAATCTACATGAATCTAGAATTATTATAGACGAATTTATTTCTATTCATGTATCCAGAAATTTTAATAAATTTTAAATGGGAATTTAAATTCATGTATTAGCAATTAATTTTTATGTACCAAATGCAGTATAAAAATGTTGCTCATTCGAAGTATTTCATCATCTTAAAAAATTTGAATCATAGAAGTTGAGTTGTGAGAGTACAATTTTCTTCTCTCAAATTTTTATCCTAAATTTTATTTTCTTTAGTTCATTTAAGACTCATCAAATCCTCCCAACAAATTGGTATCAAATATTATTTGTACTATATTTATAAAATATTTCAAACTAACGTGCAATGCACGTTCAACTCTGCCCAAACAAGAGCCAAACTTCAATTTCTGGAAAAAAAAAAAATTAAGATAAGGTTCTCTTCGAAAACAACATTTTGGATGTCCTGCATGTTCTCTTCTCTAATACAGGCCTTTCTCAATTACATAATTGAATTGCAAGAAGTTCTTAACCCATATATTGAAAGGTTAAAAAGGAAAAAGAAAGCTAAACCATAATCTCACTTCTTCAAAATGACTGCAGAGGAAAAAACTACTTTTGGAATATAAGTTTGATAAAACATTAAAGGTATAAAATAAATAGTGTAAAATGTAATCACACAATGGCAGGCAGGCAGAGAAGCCTCCAATGTTTGAACATTTTCATTGTCGATACAGAAGGTGTTCTGAAATTTTCAGTTACAACAATCACTATCTCAAATTTCAAATATCAATTTCAGAAGATTAGATAGACTACAAAAAAAAAATTCAAGCTTTGTACAGATAGGAAGGAAAGAAGAAAAAAAGGAAAGAGTGCGTCAAGAAAAGTGACCTTTCCTTTCAAGCGTACGAATCTATGCATCGAGCTTGTTCTGCCTTTTAAATCAATCGAAGAATTCCAAGGGAAGAATCGAGATTGCCTACACCTATACCATTACTCTCGAAGAGCTCATCAAAGAGCCAAGGGATGAGAGGAGCATGGGATCTACTGAATGGCAGAAAATAACCAAATTGTCTGGCTATCAGATTTAATGGAGCACCAATAGTGAAAATAATAAATGAAGATTTTATTGGCGTGTCGATGAACTTCGAGCAAATCCAACTACGGTAATGGAGTGGAAAGAAGTGGAAGAGTGTGTATGTGTAGGTGGCTTGAACATGGGTAGCAAGCAAATGCCATAAAATATTTGGCTTTCATGATTGCAATAGATTTGGGCCATAGTAACAGAAAATGTAAGATGTTTGTGGCCATTATATTGTTCAGCCTTCAGCAATAAACAATCTGGATCCAAGTCTTCCAAGCTTGTTCAAACTGCTGTTTCTCTTTTATACCTTCTTAGCGCTGAATAGTGTTTTTGGACTTCAGCACAATCATCTTAATATAGAATGAAACTCAATGAAATTCTAATAAATCCCAAGGAGATAAAAATTATTAAAAGAAATAATACCGAAGTATTTAAAACGTTGTGAAAAATCAAACCACGCCAAGCTAGTAAAATCTATGGTCATTAATCATGATTACTAGTACACAAGACCTTTATAGAATTGTGATCGAGCTGAATTGCTCTCCTACAGTCCTCCTCCACTCTGGTCCAATCACTGCACCCACAAAAACAGACATCAAATTTTCAATAAGAAATTAAACACTTAAAAAGTCACACTCAAAAACTGATAAAAGTCCTTCAACCTTTTACTGGGTATAATGACTAAAGAATCAAAAATTTCAATCAAGAAAATATACATTTCAAACTTAAAAGTGACACCGAAAGAAAAACTAAAAATCATTGTGATTCAATGGGAATAGTGACTAAAGAATCAAACTTTCAACCAAGAAAATATACATTTAAAGTAAAAACAAAAGACAAACATCAATGCGTTTTAACCAAAATAATGATTGTACGTACTTCCGCTTGCGGTGGCACACAGCCCTGTTGGTCCAATAGATCGGAACATCAGGACACAACGTAATAGCCTAAAAGAACCATAAGAAAGCAAATTAAAATTCCAAAAAAATGCAGATACATGTGTCCCATCAGATGTATATATCAACAAGCCTAAAAATACCTCAGTATAAGCATCGATGGCGGCACCAAACCGATCTTTTTTGAAATAACTGTTTCCGTCTATTCGAAGTTTCTCGGCTTGTTTAGCCGCTGCCACTGTTAGCGACATTTTTCTTCTATCCCCTCTGCCAATTATTTTCTCTTTATTCGCAAAGCTGATTACGATTGCAAGTATAACGAACGCAAAAATAAAGACTTCTCTCGCAGAATTACAATAACAAATCGCTTTATGATTGGGAGATGGAAATTCTGGGGTGGGAAAATCAAATTGAAAGTGAAATCCAAAATTTGGAAAGGGAAAATGAGTCTCGCGATTTCCCGAACATCTGATTTTTACTTTGAGCAAATTGCAAAAGTGGGCTCCAACGTATTGTGAGAGTAGTGAATTGGTCCATAACTTTCCATGACACTCGAACAATCAATAACCTAACAAATTTGGTCAAATCGTGATATAATTCTCAAGGGTCTAACTTCTAAAGTTATATTTGGCTCTTGTTTGAACACCATTTTTTCGAGAATACATTTTTTTAAAACTCATTTTCAATCACATTCTCTTATAAAATGATTATAGATATATTTCAAAAAAAATCTTACTTTTTTAATCACATATTCTCTAAAAAATACTATTCTATAATGCATTTTATCCCAAAAATGGGGATCAAAGAGGGCTTAAGTTTACAATTTCGGATTCTACCTAAAAATAGGAAGTGAATTGTGTTTGCTTGAGACAGAACAGTTTAAAACTAGATTTAACGGGTTTCATAACTCATAGTCGTATGTGTTATTAAAACTCTATTTAGTTTAGATAAAAATCAAATGTTTAGTAGATTTTAATTAAAGTCGATGAAATATATGGTTAAAATATTGATAAAAATTATAGATCTCATAAAATATATAATTGAAAATGAGTTTGTAAAAAATAAATTTAAAAAAATGAGGACCAAATAGTAAAAAAAGAGATTTCATTTGACAAAAGTCATATTCGACTCCAAACACCTACTACTACAATCCCATAATTCCTATGCCAATGTAGGCCATCTTCGATTGCACAAACCAAGAACAACTTGCTTTCCACGCTCCAATGTGGCACAAGGTCGCTAATGTCGAGTTGGCTTCTATACAGCTAGCTTTGCCACGTTTGGTCCGGACATGCTACATGAGGTATAGATTAGGGACAAGTGGTGCAATTTTCCTTTCTATGGGGGGAGAGGAATAAAGATGGCTTGTCACGCGTGGTAAAGTTAAAATGGGTTTTGTGGTGGCAAAATTTGATTAGCTTTGGATTAAAGTAAACAGGAAAAAATAACGAGGCTGACCCAAAAGGACTTTTCAAGTCAATTTCGAATGGCCAATTTCAATTTTTTTAAGGTCAATGTTTGATGTTGACTTACTTTGTCAATTTTAAAAAATCTTTTCATAGATTAGGCCGTAAGGCCCATTTTCAAACTCTATCGTTGGTGCAGTGAGCCCACTTGTGAAAAAGAATATGCCTTTGGGCTTTCTTTACTGCTTAGAAACCCGTGCCAAAAACCAAATTCATGATAATATTGTAATGTAGAGCATATAAACTATTGACAATAATGTAATGAAGTGAAATATTAGATACAAGAGCCAATGTAGAGCAAATAAACTATTGACAATGTTGTAATGAAGTGAAATACTAGATATAAGAGACGAGAACGAGGATTAATCCCCATGTTTTGATTGAGTGATGAATCTATTCAAGTTGAGACTTGTGTTTGGTCAACATATTTGAAATTAGAACGTGATTTTCAAGTAGAGAATTGTAATTTTCAAAAAGAAACAATTAGCTTGAAATTTGAATTTTTATGCATTTCAATTTCTAAATCTTGTGGTAGCAAAATTATATCTACATTCCTCAAACCTAATGCAAGACGGGGAAGGTTTCAATAGTCTATACTCTAGCAATTGAAGTAGAATTTGGCTTAACCGTAATGCATGCAGGGTGGGTTCCTCGTCAATGAGTTTAGCTGAGCAAGGTAACGTGTCTAATGGGAATGATCATGCCAGGATCAAGTGGCATTTCACCCCTAAACACAAGTCATCCATTGATTTTTCAACATCAATTGATTTGGACCTCAACTTAATTTCATCCTGATCATTGATAGATCACCCTAGTAAGAATACTCTGCTCTCTACTCAGGGTGATTAAGGGCTTCCATGCATTCATCCAAGCCATTAAAATCAGGGGCGAACTCAGGATGAAAGTTTAGTGAGGGCGAAATCAAAAAACTTTAGGGCCGAAATCAAAAAACCTTGGGAAGAAATCTGAAAACTTAAAAAAAAGCTTAGACAAAAACTAAAAATCTGAAAAGCTGAGCTTCAAGTAAGTCCGCCCTGTTAAGGGATAAAAATATCATATCTAATAACAATGAAAATATAGACCAACTTATAAAATATTGGCATACTCCGCTTAACAAGGTTGATATTTTAAAATGGAACCCCAAGTCTTAACATGGTATTAGAGCTTATTAAATTTCAACGAACGATTCAATCCCATTAAGACTCAATAAATGAACATATGGATTTCAAGATTAGTGTTCACGAAATACTTTCTTTCAGTTAAAATCACCGCAAGTGTATGGTTCGTTTACAAGTAATAAAGTGGAATGTTGAGTTTCGAGTATTGTCCCACAGAGATTGAGTAGTTCAATTCTAACTATTTTGGCGTTAATCGAAACAAATCTGTCAAAACTAGAATTTATTCTTAAAAAAAAAAATTAGCGAACCCTAATTTATGAAAACCCTAATTATGCAAAATTGAAGATTGGAATGAACTCAGTATGCAAAACGATATCTTAATGAATTAAAATGCAAATTATATGTTAGAGCGCGAATTTCAATGCTCCCCTATGCTTGCTCAATCATTTCCAAACTGTCTTACAATAATTTATGGTGTAATTCAATATAAGGTTGTCGCTTAGTTCCTACTTTATGCTCAAAACCCAGTCACTCACCTAACATATCAAGCATGAGTGTCGTGCATGGAGAATGTCAAGTATTGCATCACAAGTATTGGTTAATCTATTCAGCACCATACCCATAGTTTTGTAAGTTACACCAGTCCAATATTTACATCATAGCCGGCAAGGCTATCAAGCACACACAAGTACTCATGAAAGGAAATAAAGTAAAATGGATAAAATGCACAATTTAAATTTTTTTTTTTTTGTAACACTCGTCAAGCACACAACATGTAAAAAATGAAACATATATACTGAAAAAACACAAATATTGATAAATTTATGCAAAGTGATGTAGAGATGTCCAAAATTATGTCAAACCCCCCCCAACGTAGTTAATACATTGTCCTCAATTAAAAATTAACAAAGGTTGAAAGACATAATTGAAGGATAGTTTCATAAAAATCAAAAGTAGTAGACAATACTCCCCTGATCAATATGGAGGTAGTGGTGGGAAGATGTTTCCTGTTTACCATCATCTGGAGGTGGAGGTAGGTGCACTAAAATATCTTTCATCATTGCTGACTGTTGCCCCATCTCCTCTTGGATTCCGCCAATACGTGTCTCCATTCGGTCCAGACGTTCCCAAGTCTCATTCACTCGCAACTGGATGCCATCCACCCAGCCCACATACATACTCAGTCGACCGTTTATAGTTTCCATCTCCCTCCTGACTGCCTCGAAATCCAGGTGAGCGACTCGTGCCATATCAGTGGTGATGCGGATGTCACGTCGGGCTGTTTGCATATCAGTCGTCAAAGCCCCCATAGCCTGCTGGAGACTCTGTATGTCGCGGCTGGTTCCTATGGTGGTGGCGAATATCTGACGCCACAACTATGTATCTACCTCAATCTGTGGTGGTGGAGCTTGTGGCATCTCTTGATCTATGGGCACCTGACCCTGTTCTTCCTGTTGCTTGCGGCGCTCATTCTCTTGCTTTTTCATGTGCTTTATCCTAGCTCTGTCTTGAGGTTCCAGTGTACTGCGCTTTATAGGGGGCTGGGTTTTGCAGGTGCCTCCCCTGGTGCGATATTTATGCCAGCAGCCATGCATATGTCGGAGATAAGGCTGGGAAAAGTCATTGAATTGTGCCTGTCTCCCAAAGTACCCACATAATGGATCTGATTATAGCAGAGAGTGGCAAGATCGATCTTATTTCCTCGCACTAAGTGATAGATGAACCCGGCTGTCGGATCTGTGAATGTGGTCCTATGCGAGGTCGGTTCAATGTTATGACACATAAACAGCCACAAGATGGCTATAGACGGTGTCAGCTCAATTCGGTGCCATGCAGTGGTGGGGAGTGGCCATGCATTTTGTTGCCCTAATAGGATCTCTGTCACTTCATTCCAATTGAAATCGCCCAGGATGGGGGTTATGTTGTCCCACGTGAGCTGATAGTAGTCATGAATAATCTCTAGTGAGAACATAATCCACTGTCCCCTGACCCATGTCTGATGCAAGTGGTCGGACCCTAGTGTGTTGATCTCTGTATTGAAATTTGTGTAGAATTCTCCCACCAATGATTCATAGATCCGATGTGGTTGCTCTACTACCTTTGCCCACCCACAGTTATCCACCAAAGTGATCAACTCAAAACCTAGAAAATCATCTAATTTTATCGCCCGTTCTGGTATTACTATCCAACAACTCACAATGTTTTCAAAGCGGGCTGCTGTCCCGAAATTCAGAAATCTTTTGTATCCTCCTTCAAGAACTCGAGTATGGGCTGTTTTGGAAGATGAACCAACTTTTTCTTTCCCTTTCGAGATTCGTTTTGGAGGCATCCTGCAAAGTTGTGAAGTAACATTCATTAGTTTCATGTTGACATCCAAGGCATAGAATAAGGAAAACAAGGCATATATTGTCCAAATCCCCCAAACTTGCTTCAAAATGCATGTGTATGAAGTTGGTATGGAAAATGCATGAAATATGTCCCAATATAGGGATATCATGTCAAGATAAGAATGTACCAACAAGACTTGGCCCAAAAATAAGGAAATTGAATAATAGAACCTATGACTATCTAAGAACTTTCACGCATAGGCATCATCGAGAAAATTCGAAATTTTCCCTGGCAATCTTTGGGCATATGAAAGTATTCAATGAGGTCTAGCACATACTCAAATTTCAAATCAATTAGATTTTGTTTGGCGTGTCAAATGATGGTGTAGAGTAGGGGACGTGAGGTGTCATAACTTAACCATTCCGGTGCCTATGTGTTGTGGTATTAGGTTTTCTATTTTTCTCATAGCCCTTCATGTGAATTCTCATTACCCAATTGCTATTCATATCATTTGTAATGCATGACAAAAGCAAAGTTACC